GTGTGTGTGTGTGTTTGGGTTCTCTTCAAAGTCAACACCGACGTCGATCATAGACATATATGGAAGCCCGGTCAAAGGCCAACTTGGAGCTTCTGAAGGCAAGGGAACCCTGCTACGACGAGTCTGTTTTATCCTTGAAGTGCCTCGAAGCCGGTGATAAGGAGTCCTGCGAAAAGGAGATTAACAACTACAAAAAGTGTAAACAGTTCTGGTACGACGTCTACAACTTTCGAAAGCTGCACGGCATCAAACCCTTTCTGCCCGAACCAAATGATCGAATAAGCATCAAGGAAAGTTTTCTGAAAAGCCGAAACTTTAAGCTAGTCTGTGATGAGATTTTACGGGAAGATCTGAAGAGAAAGACCCAGTAAAACCCATCAATAACAATAATGTTTACCCGACTTTTCCGGAGCACTTGGCGGCCGAGCATGCGAAGCATTTCAAACTGTCCTTCTCTAGGCACTCAAGTGAATAATCTCACACAACAAATAAAGGCGCCCAAAGTGAACTCGAAGGGACTTTTTGGCAACCAGTTGCTTTCGCACTCAAATGGCTTCTACGTCTTTCGCCAGAATGCCATCGTGGACGCTGAGGCGCTGGTTAGGGAGGCCACTTCTTCAACGAGGACTCGGAAGATGGTGCAAGTTTTTGACGAGCTATCCAACTGCCTGTGCAAAGTGGCCGACTTGTCAGAGTTTGTTCGCATTGGACATCCGGATCGAAACTACGCAAACGCCGCCGAGCAATCGTCAGTAGCGATCAACGCCGAAGTGGAGCGTCTAAACACCAATCGAGCTTTGTACAATTCACTCTTACAGAGTGTCACCAAAGGTGACGTCGTTCCTACTACCGCCACAGACGATTACGTGAGCAAGCTGTTTCTGTTTGACTTTGAGCAAAGTGGCATTCACCTGAATGAAGATATTCGAAAGGAGGTCGTCAATCTGAATGAGCACATTCTCCATGTGGGAAGTTACTTTATGCAGGGCACCACTCAGCCTCGAGTCATGCTGAAGAACGAAGTGCCGGTGGATCTCTGGAAGTACTTTCACGCGGAGGGCAACAAAGTGGTCATCTCAGGACTGCACAATGACGCCACTGATGCTCACCTGCGGGAGTTTGCCTTTAAGCAGTTCTTGCGCTACGAAGACCACCAGGAGCAACTTTTGTTGGAGCTGATATATTCACGCTTGAAGCTGTCTCGCATATGCGGCTTTCAGTCATTTGCCCATCGCGCCATCAACGGCAGCATCGCCGACACGCCCGAAGTGGTCTGGGAGCTAATCAACAGCGTCAATAACATGGTCAGGTCCAAGTCGGAGAAGGACTTTGAGCAGATGCACTCGCTGAAGCAGCGCGAGTCGGCGGAGTCGAGCACCATGCTCATGCAGTGGGACATTCCCTACTACACACAGTTTCACAAGGTCCGCCAGTTCAGCGAAGACATTAAGCACGCCAATCCGTACTTTTCGCTGGGCAACTGCATGGAGGGGCTGGACATGATTCTCAACTCGATCTTCAACATTCGCCTGGAGGTGTGCAATGTCGACCAGGAGGACCTCTGGCACCCGAGTGTGATCAAGCTGTCGGTGAAGGACATGGCCACCAATGAAGTGCTGGGCTTTATTTACTGTGACTTCTTCATTCGCTCCAAAAAGCCTTATCACGACTGTCACTTTACCATTCAGGGAGGATGCGATCTGCCCAACGGTGAGAGTCGATGAGGTAATCATCCATGTTTTAATTCTCTGTTTACTTTCTAGGAGACTACCAGCTGCCCATTGTGGTCATCTTCCTCAACTTTCCCAACGCCACCTCAACCTACCCGACTCTGTTGCAGCCATCAATGGTGGACAATTTGTTCCACGAAATGGGCCATGCGATTCACTCGATGCTAGCGCGGACGCCCTACCAGCACATCACCGGCACTCGGTGCTCCACCGACCTGGCCGAAGTGCCCTCAATCCTCATGGAGAACTTTGCCTCCGACCCACGAGTGGTGGCCAAGTTTGCGAAGCACTACTCCACCGGCGAGCCCATCAACGAGCGGCTGCTCAACAGTTGGATAGAGTCGAAGAATCTCTTCTCCGCCAGTGAACTTCAGCTGCAAATTTTCTACTCTGCCCTCGATCAGGTGTACCACAGTGATAACCCGCTGAAGGGCTGCAAAAACACCACCGAGGTGCTCAACAAAATTCAGGACCAGTACTACGGCATACCGAACACTTCGGACACGTCCTGGCAGCTGCGCTTTGGACATCTAGTCGGCTACGGCGCCAAGTACTACTCCTACCTGGTCTCCAAGGCGGTGGCCAACTCCATTTGGAAGAAGCTCTTTGAGGGTGATCCACTGTCCTCCTCGGCGGGCAGCATCTACCGCCGAGAGGTGCTGTCTCACGGCGGGGGAAAGCCACCGAAGGAGATCGTCGAGTCGGTGCTCGGCCACAAGGTGACGGCGCACTTTCTCGCCGATTCACTGCTGGACAACATTGACCAGCACTACGTCAAGAAGTAGTGAGCAGCAGTCAATCAGCTCATTAACTTTTCATCATCATTGTAATCAAGCAGCGGTGTACTAACACACACACACTACACAGAGGCCATTTGACCCACCTGTGCGCGCGCTTTTTTCATTTGCTTCCACCATTCACTTTTAATGGGCGCTCCTCGGTGGGCGCACTGATCAACTTCATTACTTCATTACTTTCTGCTCTCATTAAAACTATTTGCCTAGACTGGTGATGAACACAATCACTATCACCTTTATACTGCCATAATTGCGTGTGTGTGCTGATGATGTTGCTATGTTGCGGTAGTAGTAGTAGTAGTAGTAGTAGTAGTTTATTTTACAGAGATATCAACAAAGTAGAAATATATACTTCTTTTCTTCAAATGGCAATTACTCGTAGGTACAGAGAAAGTGGTGTGAGAGAGGGAGGGAGAGGGAGAGGGAGAAAGAGAGTGAGAGTGAGGCCAGTGATCTTGACCTGAAACAGCGAGATAGCGAAGACTGCTACTGTTGACATTCGGTCAACTTTGCCCTTTTTTTTCTGCAGTGGCAAGCGACGATAAGGGCCAAAAATAGATTTGCCTGCCTGGTCGGTGGTGAGGATGATGGTGGTGGTGGTGGTCAGTGGCCAGAGATAAAAGTTATACCTCTCAAGAATGAGACGTCAACGTAAACATATATGGTACACAGAGGATAACACGTAAGCACGGTGGACAAGAAAACAATCGTAAAGGTTACAATGCCGCAAGAAGCCAAACTGAAGGTTTCTGAGAACTGCAAGGCCAACTCTAAACCTGCTCCGAGTGCGCCTCGGTGGAGACGGCGATGCTCTTCATATCATTGCGCTCCTTGAAGAAGCCCCGCGGAGTTTTGCACTCGCGAATAGTAATGGTCTGGTCGTGTGTGGTCACGTCGGTGATCATGATCTGGTTCACCAGCTTATTTTGCTGCTTCCAAAACTCTGGTGGAGGTGGTCGAGGACAGTAAGGTGGCTGGGACTGATGGTGCTTCTCCAACAGCTGGTACGCCGCCGCCTTTCCATTGTGAAGCTCTGACGACTTGTAGCCATTGTTGTCATGTGTCGTCTTTAGTTGCGACTTGCCGTTGGTCACTTTATTTGCAAATTTCTGTTGGTAGGAAAAAAATTAAAAGATGATTAGTAAACTTAGGTCTAACGAAAAGAAGCAACGGCTAAAAGAGCAGTGGCTCGTGTGGTGGGCAATACCGAGCTGTCCATGTTTTGGTTTATTTGGCTGGCCGCTGTACCGGCTCGCTCACTATCTGCTACTTTGGCTCTGCCCACCTTGGACGCTGGTGATGAGGGCCTTTCGGAGGTGACTGACTTGCGCTTCTGCTCCTTCGACACCCTTTTCCTGTCCTCGGGTAGGTGTCTGCTGCTCTCTGCTGGTTCCTCGTACTCCTCTTCTTGCGCCTCTTCCTGATCACTGCCGCTGGAGAGAGAGGACGGCTGGTCGTCGGCGTTAAGAGAAATGCCTCTGGCGCGAGCATTCCGACTTCTCTTTTCAAATCGGGCGTAGGCATCGAGTAGCCGTGGATCTAGAATGTTCTCTTCAGGCTCCCAGGTGTTGAACTTGTGTCCCCAGTCTTTCCACTTGACAAGGTATTCTGTTTTCTTTGACCGAATCCGCTTCTTTAGTATTCGTTCGGCGGCAAATACCCTTTCCCCTACCGCGGACAGCTCCATGAGTGATTCAATCTCCGCAATCTCCTGTGGATTAATTTTGGACCGGTTTTGAGGGGCAATTTTGACGAAAAAGGTGGCACTCGCGACACTGCAGTCGCCTGAGCGAGTGAAGTGCTAGAGTGAAAGTTGATCGTTGGACTGTTGAACAAACTTGCACAACGTACACACACAGGCGTACAGAGAGACGCACTATCAGCCAGTGGTTTCGGTCCAATTGAGTTGTTGTTGTTGGGTTGTCTTTTCAGGTTGCGCACTATTTGCACCAGTGCTGCTGCTGATGTGACTGGTTCGTTGGAGGGAGAGTGCAGAGGCTTCGAAAACGGTCACTTTCACCGGTTGGCTTGCTATTGCTGGCGTAGGGCGCGTATGGGGAGTCCCGAGTGTCGCAGTGTCAAGTGCAAAGAGGCGCAATTCTTGTAGAATCACTTGAGCGCTTCTGCAGTGGTCACAAGATAAGTTGCAGTGCAGTCAACGAGAGAAAGAGAGAAAAAGTCCAGCGAGACAAAACATTTGGAAACAAAACTCAAATCTGCGCCAGAAGCAAAGCACACTCAACTCAAGAAGTTTTGCTGGAGCCAGTGCGCTTGCGCCGAGTGGAGTGGCAATCTGACGACGCTGAGCGCAAAGTGGGCTTCAACTGTCCGCTTACTTGGTCTCAAGAGGGAACGGTCACCAAGTAATAAACTCAGATCACCTTGACATTGGTAGTGTTGAAGAGCTCGTTTAAAATAAAAATGAACGTATCTCAGGTTTTTTTGGCGCAACTCAACGACTCCTGAGAAATCGGGCCTCAAAGCTGGCTTTTCCAGTGCTTTGATGCCTGTGAAACGCGCTTTGTGGATGACCCTCCGTACACTGACCAGAATCAACCAAATGAGACCAGATTTTTCGGGAACAATTGAGGTGCGCAGAAAAAACTAAAATACCTACACTTTCATTTTAAAAGAGCTTCCCAATCATACCAATGTAGAAGGAATTATAAATTTATCGTTAGTTGATGTTCCCCTGTGCGACAGAAGTCCAACCCCTCACTGGAAAACAGCGCCAACTACCTCTGCGGCCTGAGCGCCGCGAGATCTCTTCCATATGAATGCACTGGCAGTTGTCATAAACCCTAGTGAACAGCTGCTGCTGCTGTCGCCTATAAGTTCGGTGCAGGCCACCGCAGTATTACCTCTTGCTCTGCCCTAATGGCCTTGCATCTGTCCCGCATCCTGTGTCGTCTCTGGCAGCACCTCTGCCACGGTTTGTCTGCTTTCCACTAACTGTTGCCGCCACTGTTTGGCGCTTCCTTTGCTGCATCATCAGCAACAGCACAGAGTGCTACTGGACACACAGAGAGCGTAATTATCACTTGGTGGGGGACATTTTTTTGGTAGCCTTTTGAGACAACGAGCAAGGTTCCTGCTGTGCAAGGTCACGGCCACCGGGTGGATTAGTGGTCAGCATTAATTGGCTGATTGGGTGATTCAGACAATGCAAGTGCAAGTGCCTATGAGCGGCCATTCACTTGTTTCTTCGCTGCGGTCACTGACGATGTCATGGCTGCTGGTTTGTCTGCGGTGTAATCGAATAGTGATTCAAGCGAAAGTCATTGTGCAAGAGCAGCTCATCAGCGCATCGATCATGTTTGCTTGGCAGTGCTGCTGCCGAAGTAAAGTCAGTTGTTGTGTGGCTTGTGTGGCCAAGCCTTTTCACCTGCCAGTGTGCACCAGAAGACTGCTGCCCCTTGGCAGGCCACTGCCCAACAGCCACTTACCAATCAACAATACCTGTTTGGGCGCCTCAGTGCCTTTATCANAGTTGTTGTGTGGCTTGTGTGGCCAAGCCTTTTCACCTGCCAGTGTGCACCAGAAGACTGCTGCCCCTTGGCAGGCCACTGCCCAACAGCCACTTACCAATCAACAATACCTGTTTGGGCGCTCGGTTCTCTCATCACCACAATACCAAACGGCGCCAGTGACCAGCTGGCAACCAGTCTGCACACAACACTGCAAAAGCCTTTGTAAAATATTGCATTTATTGGTCACAGAGATGAAAAATGATAGTTACAAGAAAGGAAGTGGAAAGGTAAAGTTATGCTAAGTTTAGGTTTTTTTGCCTAGGTAAAACTTATAATTTGGCAGCGAGATAATGTTCTCCAGGGTAGATTTCCACTTGGTATTGGCCTCTACAGAATCAGGACCGAGTGCAAATGGAAAAATACTGCCAAGTGCCTGAGCAGGGGATTGAGGCACTGGCTGAAACGACTGATCCGAAGAATGCAGAAGCGAGTCGAGGCTGGCGGTGGACACTGCTGACACTGTTGCTGGCGGCAGCTTCAGACCAAGTTCTGCTGCTTTCGACGGTTTGAAAAATCTGTTCAATCTGCTCGGGAAGACTTCGTTGTAGTCTGAAGGTCCGCCGACAATTTTTTTATTATTCAACTCAAATGTGAAGCGAGTCCTGCCCGTAAACTTGTACTGCTTTCGGTCAAACTTTTGTCTGCGACTAATACTGTTCAGCTTGATTGGTTTGGAGAACTTGAAAGACTGCGGTGATAAGGTGGGTGGCGGAGGTGGAGGTGATGGTTCTGATGGCGGTGGTGGTTCGGGAGTTTCCACAAATATAGGGTTAGTTACTGGGAGTGGAAGGGGTGTCGTCGGCGGTGGGGTGATTGAGGATGAGGGTCTGGTGATGGTGATGGGCTGTGCTGTAGGCAGTGGTGGCCTGAAGATGCGGTTCACCGTGGACCATGGAGGCAGTGAGTCTATTCGATTGAACTCAAAGTCAGCACTGAGTGTGGGCGCAACTGGTGCCACGGTCACTGGCTCTTCCTCTACTGTTGCTGTTGGTGGTGGTACTACTGGCCTCGATTGCGCCCTGAAAGTATGAAAATGTGGTCGTGCCAGGTTGAATCGTCTCAGTGGTCGAAGGGTCACCGGTGGTGGTTGTTCTTCACTCACAAACTGAGGCAGTGGCGATTCAGTAGTGGTGATAGGCAGTGGTGGTGGTAGTGAGGAAGAGGGACTCACACTTTCTGGCTCCGCTGTTGAGTGTCCCTCTCCAGTCCATGCCCGCTCTTCTTCCTCGTCATTTGCATTTCCCACAACTTCACCGAAAGTGGCCACGTGATTGGAAAGTACGTTCAGATCTGACTCCACTTCTGGAGGAATGTTGTTTTCTGCTGGTGGTGGCAAGGCGACTGGACTTTCCGTGGCAACCGTTTCAGGGAAACTCGGAGGCTGTGTCTGCTGATGTCCTTGCAGTTGATGATCGCTGAAGATATTCTCCACAAATGTGCGCGTCACAGTGGCGTTCGGTGATGGTAGTGCGCCAAAAATGAGCTCTTCCGGGGGTAGGGACTGCAGGCTGAGGTTTCCAAATATATTGGCAATCAGTGAATTGATAGTCTCAGTGTTGCTTTTGTAAGGCGTGGCGGCAAAGGGGTTGGAAAGAAAGAGGGTGTTGTTCTGAATTGAAGCATGTGGCTTGGTNTCTGCTGATGTCCTTGCAGTTGATGATCGCTGAAGATATTCTCCACAAATGTGCGCGTCACAGTGGCGTTCGGTGATGGTAGTGCGCCGAAGATGAGCTCTTCCGGGGGTAGGGACTGCAGGCTGAGGTTTCCAAATATATTGGCAATCAGTGAATTGATAGTCTCAGTGTTGCTTTTGTAAGGCGTGGCGGCAAAGGGGTTGGAAAGAAAGAGGGTGTTGTTCTGAATTGAAGCATGTGGCTTGGTTGACTGGTCAAGTGCTGGCTCAGAATCAGCGACTGGCACCTCATGGTCGCCGCCAATCTGATTGCCCGCATCTGCATTGCTGTTGAGCACACTACCAGGCACTAGCAGTAGATTGGCAAATGGGTTTGCCGCTCCTTGCTGAGTCTGATTGGGAGAGAGAAAGAAGACACTGGACTGAGCGGGAAGAAAGTTAACGGCGACTGGTTGCAGTGATGGTGCAAAGAAGGAGTGCAGAGATGAGGAGTTTGTCAGTTGACAGTGGACGCCGAGGGTGAACCAGCCTAGACAAAGGGTGATAGCCAGAAGGGCACACTGCACAGCTGACCAGACTGGCATTTTCGGTGATGATGATGTCGTAGTGGGTGATGAATAGAACGACAAGCAAAAGAGTGCTGGCCAGTAGTAGTGCCAAGTGCACACGTGAAGGCGACTCTTTTTCTTTTTACTGCCTGCCTGCAGATACGGATACTGCGCCCCAAATGCGCGTAACCTTCCACTGGAGTGTTTCTTTATGCACACGTTTTGAATCTAAGCAAACAACGAGGGGATGATGCCTCTTTTGCCTTTATGACAGCGACGACGACGACGAAGAGGAGGAGGAGGAGGAGGGGAACGCTGTCTTCGGATGCTGCCACTGCGGACGAAAGGTGCACTGAACACTGGAGCAGTGGAGTGATAATAAAGTCAACCTAGTTCAAAGCTGCGAAACAGCGAAAAGCCTCCTCCTGTCCATACAGAGCAGATCCAGGTAGAGTGGCACTGAGAACACGCTGAAACAGCAGCAAAAGTGTCTGCAGTTTTGTTAGCTGATTTATATATCGATTAACGGACGCTAAAGATTGCCTGACTCTCTGTCTCTGTCTCTGCACCATCAGTTACAGTGTTTGTCTGCGATGAGTAGTTACACACAGTGATGACTTTACTTTTCACTCTCAGCTGTTGGAGAGTTAGTGAGAGTTTGTGCTCTTCATCGGCTGCTTCGATCTGCCGCCGCCGCCGCCGACGACGATTTACATGACTCGTAAGTGCGCGAGCAGACGATATGACTGATCTGGCAGAGACAAAGAGACATATCAGAGATGCATTGCCAGATAAGCGGCAGATCGGACAGAAAGGAGAGAAAGAGAGTGAGGAGTCGGGGAAGGCCAGGAAGGCGATCTAGTTACTGTGCCAGACAGTCCGCTGGCCAGTGCTCTCCTTTGGACGGGGCCATCTTTTTGGCATTAGCATTTACATTAATAGCCATCATTTCATTAGGCACAATTACACTGCACCGACGAGACAATACATTCAAATTGCAACAGAATTATGATGGTCCGGACACGGCAGAAGCATCATCAGCAAACTGTTGCTGCCGCTGCCTTCAGTGCCTGCTGCAGTAATTGATTAGTGCAGTGTTATTGCACTACTACCTAGTCATAATCCTTAGACAGTGCTCAAAACGGCACACAGCATCAAAACAGTTGGACTCTCCTTTTTCACTTTTCTTTTTCGCGTTAATTAGCGATGCGATCTGAGTAGAAAAAAAGTGCGACTGGAACAATTGCAGACTTCTTGGCATGAAATGGCCCTGAATGTGCTCCCCTGGAGAGAAATAGTGAAAGCGAAAAAGAGGGACTACTTTGAGACGACGACGGCGGCGGCGGCGACAATCGTGATGAATAGTGCTCATTAAAAGATCAATAGACCAAACTGATCGATCAGCAATCAGATGTGCGACTACTGTCGGCGCCTGTGTTTGCCTGACTGGATGACTGGCAGTTGCACTTTAATGCGCAGATACTGCTTGCCAAATAGATTAATCGTGTCGTCGGACTGCATTATTTTCACTTTTTGCTACCGGTGAACACTTGAACGGCAACAGAGCATTTATCCTCCTCATCAGTTGTATAACTGGCGCTCTAATTGTTGCACTGTAATCATAATGAGCATTCGCCATGAGGAACGATGAACGGTGGACAGGCATTTGGATCAGCCACTTTTGGACAGCTCGTGAGACTTGCCGCAGTGACGCGAGCCATCTCACCTTCTCTCGCCGACGACGTTCAGACGTTCACATCACGCCGACGAAAAACAACACTGAAGACTACTTGCTAAATGGAAAAGCTGTTTGCGTGTGCGTGTGTGTGAATGTTTTTTCAGTGGACAGCTAAATGAGAGAGTGATGTCTGTCGGCGCCATATGTGTCCAGTCGACAACTAAAACGACCACTGATTTGAATGGCGCCGACAGTGACAGTTTTTTGAGAAGATGCATGTGTGTTGAAAGGGATGATGACACCTTCGCAGGATGCCTTTTCTGCATCAGCTTCGCCCCAGAATGGCACGCCACCAATGGTGTGCTTGCGGAAAAGAATGCACCACCACCACTTGATTAGTCTGTGATGGCTGTCCACTTCTCGATGATGCTTATCGAGAGACTGTTCTGACTTTGACTCACTTTTACTGACTTCGACTGTTCCTAAGACAGTGGGCACACTAATCACTCGCACTGATGGATTTTGCTAATTTAGCGGCTCTAATTAATTATTTCAGAGCCGTAGTAGCAGTTGTAGCAGCGAACGGGATGAACACCGTCAAGCTGACTAGGCCAATCAAATCAGCTAGTCGATCCAATTAGTCGCCATTTTGCATTTCTTATTCATCCTGCTGCAAGTAAATTTTGCTGTTTTTCTAG